TTTCCACAGAGGTTGCACTAGTTTACATTCCCACCAACAGTGTAGAAGTGTTCCCTTTTTACCACATCCTCTCCAGCATCTGTTAGTTTTTGAGATATTGATAATGGCCATTCTGACTGGAGTTAGGTGGTATCTCAATGTAATTTTAATTTGCATCTCCCTGATGATTAGTGAGATTGAACATTTCTTCATGTGTCTGTTGGCTGTTCGTATGTCTTTCTTTTGAGAAGTATCTGTTCATATCTTTTGCCCATTTTGTAATGGGGTTGTTTGTTGTTTTCTTTTCAGCACGTTTGAGTTCCTTGTAGATCCTTGATGTTAGGCCTTTGTGAGACATGGAGTTGGCAAATACTTTTTCCCAGTCAGTGGGCTGTCTCCCTGCTTTCTTGATGGTTTCTTTGACTTTGCAGAAGCTTGTCAGTTTAATGAGGTCCCACTTGTTAAAGAATCATTTTCTAAGTTATAACATCTTTTATAGTATTTTAATTTTTTATTATGCAATTTTTAAAAATTTTAATGCAGAAAAAGTAGAAAGAATAGTACAATAAACAGCCAAATTCCCTATACCTATATTCAAAAATTATGAAAATTTTGCCGTATTTGCTTCTTCCATATGTAGGCATCTCAAAGTCTTAGTGGACTTTTAAGCCTTAGTGACTTCAAAAGATTAACTGCGACAAACTGGCAAAAGAATAGCATTTGAAATATAATTACTTACATTTCCTGTTTATTTGGATTTATAATTTTTATGAATACAATTTTATGATAAATTTTTACTTCAGTTCCTATCTGAAAGTGGCAAATGTTGACTGGAAGAGAAAATAAACTTAAAAGTTATTATTCAAAATTTTCAGAAATAAGTAACTGTAAAATAAATATAAATAATTAAAGCTTTATATGATTTTTAAAAAGATTATAGCAGTTAAGCTTTTGAAGTTATTAAAACTTAAACTGCATAAAAACATTTAGGATACCCTGTATATTCATTAGTTTTTGCTATACCATTTTCAAAATAAATTGTAGATATCATACATTACCCCTAAAAACTTTAGCATGAATTCTCAAAAATAAGAATATTCTCCTATTTTCACATGTAACAAAATTAACAATAATTCTCTAATATTATCTAGACTCCAGTCCATAGTCAAACTTCACCATTTGTCCCAAGAATGTATTTTTAGCTGTTTTTGTAGAACTACAATCCTCTCAAGGACCACAAATTATATTTGCATGTTAGATTTCTTAAATCCCTTTTAAGCAAGTAGCATTTCTCCCTGTTTTTTCCCTGACATTTGCTTTGTAAAGACATCAAGCCATGTGATGTGTAGATTGTTTCAAATTCTGGATTAATATGATTGTTTCCTTGTGATATTATTTAACTTATTCCTCTATCTCTGAGTTCCTGGAAAATTGATACTAGTTCTAAAAGTTTGTTAGGTTCAAGTGAAATACTTTTTACAAGAATGCGTTTTAAGTAATGCTGCATACTTTATTATAATAAGATTTGTAATAGTTGTAGAGACTTTCTTTGTATGACCATGTTGTTATATTTAAACAGGCACTTATTGGACATGAATGTTTGAAAGAATATCTAATTATAGCATTAAAAGTATGTATTTTTCAACTGATTCTTCAGTAAGAGTATATTTAGGACATATCTGTCTCTATTTTCCAGCAAGATTGCTGAACAGTTGAAGTAGCCAGAAAATGTCAAGGTCTTTCATTACTTAAACTGTAGCCCCCAAAATAGGCATAGATATTTTAAAAATCCCATTTCAAAAGTTTCTATAAAATATCCTATGTACACCTCACACATTATAGCTTTAAATGCAGAACTTATACTTAAATTTATAGTGTATTATAGACAAAAGAACTTTACTATGTGTCTTATACAGTAACTTGGCATTTGAATTTATTCAGACTAATAATCCCCTGAGGAATATAAGCTCTTGTTTATTAACTCCTGGATGTTTCTAATGAAATAATTGGTTGTTTGCTTTTGATTAGCGTCTAGGTGTTTTAGCAGATGAGAATCATTGGTTCATGTAATTAAATGTTTTGCTTTATATTAAATTCATGTCAAAATCCACTGACCTCTCAGGATTGATAAAATGTCTTTATCTTTCTTCTCTCTCTGAGGCTTTTTTCTTTCCTCATTTCTCTTTCCCAAGTTACAGGTCAACAGTTTCTATACAGTTTATTGCATTTCTATAAACTTAAGCAAAATTTAATCCATGACAGATGAGGTATTCAAAATTAGAACATAATTAGTCATCAAGTAGATTGTGAACATCTTCTTTTAATTGTTTAGGTGTAGTAATAGTAATGTTACTTCAGACTTTTATAATGCTCTGTAGTTTATAAACTTTTTCTATGCAATCTCATTTGAACCCCACAACAAACCAGTGAGATAGGAACATATAATATTCATATTCTCATTTTAGAGAGGAGAAAACCCAGAAAAGCTACATGACTTGCCCAAGACACATCAACAGTAAGTAGTAGGGGCCAAATAAGAGCTCACATATTCCAACACAGGTAAATATGATCT